CCCACCGGGCCAGGTTAGGGGTCCGATGTCCCCACACCAGTCCCTAGGGACGTGCCACCTCCTAGGCTGGACCTTTTGCCGGGGTCCGTCCCTGCGTGTCAGTCCCTGGGGGCTCTGCCCTTATCCCAGGGAGGACGGGGCCATCTTTGCCCCCCTTCCCCACCCCGTTACTGCCCACCCTCTCGCCGGCGCCGGTCCCGGATGGGGGCAGCTCTGCCACCAAAGCTGCCGGGTCCCTAACGGCGAGCGTTGTGTGCAGGAGGAACTCACCAGCACCAGCGTGGAGCACCTCATCATCAACCCCAACGCCGCCTACGAGAAGTTCAGGGACAAGCGCCTGGGCACCGAGGGAGTGGGTGAGCCCACGGAGGGGGACAGAGCTGGGATGGGTGGGCTGTGGGGAGCCGAAGCGGACGCCAGGGAGGGGACAGCCGCCCTTGGGTATCTTGGGGTGACGCCCTGCTCTTCCTCTTCCAGATTTCTCCGATCGCATCGGCAAGACCAGGACAACGGGCTACGAGTCCGGGGAGTATGAAATCGTGAGTGCAGAGCGCGCGGGGAGCTGAGCCGCCCCGCTGCACGCTCCCATGTCCCTTCCCACCCCACGGGGACATCTCTGCCCCAGGGCTGCCAGTCCTCCAGGCGGGTGGGAGGTGGGAAGGGACCTCCGGAGGTGACCTGGTCCAACCCCCTTGCTCAAGCGGGGCCACCCAGGACCGTATCCAGGTGGTTTCTGAATATCTCCAAGGATGGAGACTCCACTGTCTCTCTGGGCAACCTGTGCTGGTGTTTGGTCGCCCTCACGGTAAAAAAAAAAAACCCAAAAAAAAGTGTTTGCTGATGCTCAGGTGGAACCTCCTGCGCTTCGGTTCGTGCCCGTGGTCCTGGCACTGGGCAGCACTGGGAGGAGCTGGGCTCCGTCCTCTTGGCACCCTCCGTGCGGGTGTTGATGAGATCCGTTCCCCCCCCCAAGAACCTTCTCTTCTCCAGGCTGAGCAGCCCCAACTCTCAGCCTGTCCCAGGAGAGACCTTTCAGCCCCATCAGCGTTTTGGCGACCCTTTGTTGGACTCTCTCCAGTATGTCCGTGTCTCCCTCGCACTGGGGAGCCCGGTCCGGAGCGCGGCGCCCCGCCTGTGACCTCGGCAGTGCGGAGCAGAGGGGAAGGACCTTCTCCCTCCACCGCAACGCTCCTCCCGGTGCTGCCCAGGACACCGTTAGCCGCCTCTGCCGGGTCACATTTAGCTCGGTGCCCACCACGACCCCCCGCAGCCCCCTGCTCTCCAGCTGGGTGGTCTCCAGCACATACTGGTGCTGGGGGCTGTTCCTCCTCAGGAGCAGGACTCCGCACTTCCCTTTGTTGAGCTCCGTGAGCCCCTCGGCCCCTTTCTCCAGCCTGTCCGGGACCTTCTGGCATCTCGGCCTCTTGTCCCCACGTGGTGGCATCTGCAGACTCGCTGGGGGTCCGCCCTGCCCCGTCGTCCCGACCATTAATGAAGATGTTAAAGAGGATCATAGGATGGTTTCGGTTGGGAGGGACCTTAAAGATCATCCAGTTCCACCCCCCTGCCCTGGGCAGGGTCATCTCCCGCGAGAGCAGGTTGCTCAAAGTCCAGGATCGCACCCAGCATTGTCCCTTGGGCTACACTGGTCCTTACTGGTCTCCAACTAGACGTTGGGCTGATGATCCCCATCTTCTGGGCTTCGCTATTGGGCTGCTTTCGGTCCACCTCGCTGCCTGCTCGCCCAGCCCGGCCCGGCAGCTCCTCCTGGAGCCACTGTCGATGGCCAACCTGAAGTCCGGGTGGACAATGCCGGCTGCTCTCGCCTCATCTGCCAGCCCGCTCCCTTCACCGTTAGGAGTTTATGGCGTTAGTCGAGCGCGCCGTCCCCTCGGTGAAGCTGTGCTGGTTTCTCTTGATGATCTTTTTTGTCATTCTTGTGCCTGGAAATGGTTTCCAGGAGTAGCTGCTCCACCACCTTCCCAGGGAAGACGGTGAGGGTGACCGGCCCAGGGTTCTCTGGGTCCTCCTTCTTGACCTGCTTGAAGATGGGGGTGATGTTCGCTTTCCTCCAGACCTCTGGCTCTTCCCCCACAGTCACCGCCACCCGTCAGAGGTCATGGAGGGTGGCCTTGCGGTGCCATCAGCCACCTCCCTCAGCCCTGGCGGGCACATCCTGCGCTTCTGGGCGCTCCGTTCCCCAGAGTGTTCCCTCACCTGATCCTCTTCCACCGAGGGACCGTCCACCTTCCTCCAGCCTTTCCCCGGGCCTGGGACCCCTGAAGGCCGGTGGGGCCGGTAGAGATGGAGACAAGGGTGGCCTTGAGTGCCTCAGCCTTTCCCACCCGCCTCCTGCGTCCCCAAGGCCCCCTCCTCGTTCCACAGCAGGTCCACCTCTCCCCTCCGCTGTCCTCCTGCCACCCGGGTGCTCAGGGAAGCCCTTCTTCTTGCCTTGGACATCCCTGGCCAGGTTGAGTTCTGGCTGGGCTTTGGCTTTCCTGACCTCGTCCCTGCCTGCATGGGCAATGTCTCCGCCTCCCGGGTTCCCCGTCTCTGCTCCGGCCTCTGCCTCCTCCTTCCCCTCTCCGGGTTTGACCGGGAGCTCCTCTCCACCCCGACACCTCCGGGCTGTCCGCGTGGTGGGACAGAGCGCTCTGGAGCTTGGAGGGGCTGATCCTTCAACATCAACCGCTCTCTTGGGGTCCCTCTCCCCGCTCCGTTGCCTGATCCCGGGGGACTCTTCCAAGCAGACCATCCAAGAGGTCGGAGTCTGCTCTCCTGAAGACACCCCTCCCCACTCTCACCGTCCTCAACCCCACCATCTCGTGGTCACCACAGCCCGGGCTGCCTTCGACCTCCGTGTCCCCAACGAGCCCCTGCTGGTTGGTGAAGGTGAGCTCCAGTGGAGCTCCTCTCCTCCTTTGCTCCTCTGTCACTCAGAGGAGGAGGACATTGTCACTCGGGACCCTCCCGGGCCGCTCGTGTCCTGCTGCCTTGTCCCTCCAACGGGAATCTCTGAGGTCCCACCTGAGGACCACGTTCCTGCAAACACGAGGCTGCTCCTACCTCTCTTGAGGGTCTCACCGTCTGGTTCTCCCTGCTCCTTCCCTTTTCTCACCCTTCCACCCAATAACGGGTGGGCAGCGGGGGCGGTTGGGTACCAGCGTCCCGACTACCCCCACCTGACCCCCCTCCCCGATTCCTCTCCCCGCAGCTCGGCGAGGGTCTGGGTGCCAAAGAGACGCCCCAGCAGCGGTGCCAGCAGCTGCAGCACGAGGTGCAGGAGCTGGTGAGGGAGGTGGAGCAGATCCAGGTGAGCATCACTCCTACTTTGGGAGCGGTGGGGTGGTGGCAGCGGGGGGTGACGGGGCCACCTTTCCTACAGAGCACGGTGAAGGAGTCGGCGGCGGAGGAGGAGCTGACGCCCATGGCCTTGGCCAGGCAGGTGGAAGGTCTGAAGCAGCAGTTGGTCTCCAGCCACCTGGAGAAGCTGCTGGGTCCCACGGCGGCCATAGACTTCGCCGACCCCGACGGCGCCTTGGCCAAGTGAGTGGGGTTCAAGAAAGACGGGGATCTGCTGGAGAGGGTCCAGCAAAGGGCGACGGAGATGATGAGCGGATTGGAGCACCTCTCGTATGAGGAGAGGCTGAGGGACGTGGGGCTCTTTAGAGGAAAGAAGATTGAGGGGGGATCTTATTAACGCTTACAAATAATTAAAGGGAGGTGCCCGGGGGATGGGAGCAGTCTTTTTCCAGTGGTGCCCAGTGACAGGACGAGGGGTAACGGGCACAGACTTGAACATAGGAGGTTCTATCTTAACGTGAGGAGGAACTTCTTTTACTTGGAGGGTGGTGGAGCAGTGGCACAGGCTGCCCAGAGAGGTGGTGGCGTCTCCCACTCTGGAGACATCCCAAACCCGCCTGGACGCCGTCCTCTGCAACCTGTTGGAGGTGCCCCTGCTCTGGTGGGGGGGTTGGACTAGATGATCTCCAGAGGTCCCTTCCAACCCTGACCAGTCTGAGATTCTGTGGGTGCCGGGACCGCCGGGGAACTTGTGGGGTGGATGCTGGGAGCCCCCCCTGCCCACTTTTTTTTGACCCCCCCCTTGCTCCATCCATCCATCCCAGGCTTCTGCTGCAGCAGCTGGAGGTGGCCAAGTGCAGCAAGGAAACCCCGCGGAG